TAGACTAGTGAGAGTGAGGTCCGCTTTGATGTGGAGACAGCAATCAAGGTGCTTCGTCAAGCAGGTTACTACTCCCATGCTGTATACCTGGCAGAGAAGCATGCGCATCATGAATGGTACCTCAAAATCCAGCTAGAGGACATCAAGGTGAGGAGATGCCATCGTTCTCATGTTCCTACTGGTGAGAATACTATTTGTCAGGGGTGCGACTCCTCTGTGGGCTAATCTGTGGACTCCGTGGGCGTTGATTCCTCTAGGACTATTCAGACAGTGATAAAAACGCTTGCTGTTGCTTATGTGTTGGTTCTCTGCTTCTAGCTTGTACAGTAGACTCTGAGGGTGGAAATCAGAGGGGTTAACTGTTCTGTCTCAGAGATGACTTTTCACAGAGCCACTTAAGAGAAGGGGGGATCTTTAGTGACAGACTAATCTAAATCACTCTCTTTCTCCCCTGGGCCGTGGCCAGTTTCCCTCCGCAAGGAGGGGAATCAGGAGGAATAGTGACCTAAGTGATAATTTGGAGCAAACTCCGAAATGACGTATGCCTTGATGGTATACTTGCAGCATGTCTTCAGCGCTCTCTGTGGCCCAAGTAGAAGTGCAACCTCGAAGTGGGTAGCAGATGCCAGTGTCATATGATTCTTGCTGACTGCCCCCCACAGAACTACCAGGAGGCTTTGGGGTACATTGGAAAGCTGCCCTTTGATCAGGCAGAAAGCAACATGAAGCGGTATGGTAAAATCCTGATGCACCATGTCCCTAATGAGACCACGGAATTGCTGAAGATACTGTGCACTGATTACCGGCCATCAGGAGACAATGAAGGCCTTGGGATGCTGGAAGGAAAAAAGGTATGGTTTGCACTGACTGAGAATTGTTGCTCTAGCGTAGTACGTTTGCAGCAAGTGGATGCTCCCGCATGCTTTCTGGTGCAGGCCTGACATCTTAGATGTAATGGGAAGCCCTGCCCTGCTGTACTGTTATTACTAGAGACAAGAGACTCCCTGATGGTATTGCTCAGTGCTGATTTCTGCATTAATTAGAATTCTGTACTGAGTATTCCTCTCGTGCCAGAGACTCTAGGAATGAGCACCCTACATGTTGGGAAAGAAGCACCTGTCTGGCTGTGGCTGGTCTGGGTGCTTGACTTTTTCTGGGCTGTGTTACAGGCTAATTCTGAGGAGTTCATTCCAGTCTTTGCAAACAACTCCCGAGAATTAAAGGCTTTTCTGGAGCACATGACTGAAGTGCAGTCTGACTCCCCACAAGGTGTCTATGACACATTACTGGAACTTCAACTTCAGAACTGGGCACACGAACAAGATGAACAGGTTTGAACTCGTCCCGCTTTTTTATTTTGAGAGGGAACTTTGGTGTCCACGTGGGTGGTGTTAACATTAAGCAATACATATGCTGTCCTGGACAAATAATAAATAAATGGGAAAGCAGTCTGCTATCTGGGAGAGGATTCCTTTTATTAAGGCTGAGCTTGTTTTCTGTGAGTCTCATTCAAGCATGCATTCCAGAGAATGCACTCTCTGTGAGCAGGTACCTCCTCCCACAAAACAAGCTGTGTATGCTTGTCTTGGTCTCTCGGTTATCTGGGCCAAAGAAATTGTGTCCTGTTTGCTTAATAGGGCTAGAGGGTAAACAGAAGAACTTTCCTTGGCTTTAGAAGAGCTACAACTTGTCATCAGGTGTTAGTGGAAAATGGTCTTATGTGTGTGTTTGTTCCGCTCCGCCCCACCCCGGTTCTCTGTAGATCAAGGAGAAGCTGCGCAATGAAGCCATCACCCTCCTGAAGAGTGGAAGGTTCAAAACAGTCTTTGACAAGGCCTTGGTCTTATGTCAGATGCACAATTTCAAGGATGGTGTCCTCTACCTCTATGAACAGGGCAAACTGTGAGTGTTGCTCTTCTCTTCATATTTTTTCTTACCCTGCCATAGGGACAGCTGGGCTGTAAGCCTTTCTGCCCTACAAGAGTGAGAATCTCTCTTAGTATGTCAAGACAGGAACTGTACAGATCATGGCTCAGCTGAAAATGTCCTATTGTTATAGCAAGGCAATTATGTAGAGGATGAATGACAGACCAGTCTTGGCTTCTGTGGCAATGTCTGGGGATTGCATGGCAGGGTGAAAACCTGAGGTCCCTATAACAATTCAAAAAGTGAGGTGATTGTATAGCTGATCTGCTTCCTTCTCCTTTAGTTTCCAACAGATCATGCACTACCACATGCAGAATGAGCAGTACAAGAAGGTGATTGAGGTGTGCGAGTTGTATGGAGACCAAGAGGCTTGCCTCTGGGAACAGGCTCTTGGCTACTTTGCGCGGAAGGAGGAGGACTGTAAGGAGTATATTGCTGCGGTGCTGAAACACATTGAGAACAAGAATCTTATGCCTCCACTACTTGGTAATACTGAGATGTGGCACCAAAAAAATTGGTTTATAGCACTCTGTGTAGACTAGAGTTCCGGGAGCTATCAATGAAGTTTGAGCCCACCACTCAAATGACTAACCTGCGCTACAGGGAACAGGGATGCTAGTGACAGTTCCCTAACTGGGGACAAAGATCTGCAGTTTCAAACACATAAGATGCCTGTGCATTGCTATAGTCTGTCCTGTCAGTGCGGGGAGGCGAAGGACTTGCCCAAACTGTCGCAGTAGATGGATGGGGAAGTAGGAGTAGAATCGAATCGTGTCGTGCTTTATCCCTTGGATCTGAGCTATCCAAACATGCTCCCAGTCACCTGTTTCTGGAAGTGCATTAGTTGCTGTGGCCCTCAAAAGGTAAAATTTAAACAGAGTCTTTAAATGAGGTTTGTGATTCCATAGAAATGCTGAACCTCTTTGCCTGTAAGTGACCCCTTAAAAGGCCCTCTTGAAAGACTAATGTAGCTGCAGCTTTTTGCCTGCATTTAAACTAACGTGTTGGTTGTCTTCAGTTGTGCAGACTCTGGCTCATAACTCCACAGCCACGCTGTCTGTGATTAAGGATTATCTTGTCAACAAACTGCAGAAGCAGAGCCGCCAAATTGAGCAGGACGAGCAGAGAATTCAAAAATACCGAGAAGAAACCACAAGGATCCGCCAGGAGATCGAAGAGCTAAAAGCAAGGTGCAGGACTTTGTGGTGTCTTGTCTTTTATAGGGTAGCAAGCTATTTCACTCTATTAAGAAGAAAATATACCTTGTCTTTTCCACCCTTCTCCTTCCTTTCATTGTCTCAGTCCCAAGATCTTTCAGAAGACCAAGTGTAGCATTTGTACCAGTGCCCTGGAGCTGCCTTCAGTCCACTTCTTGTGTGGTCATTCCTTCCACCAGCATTGCTTTGAAAGCTACTCTGAGAGCGATTCAGAATGTCCTACTTGCATGCCAGAAAATCGCAAAGTGATGGACATGATCCGAGCCCAGGAGCAGAAGAGAGATCTGCATGATCAGTTTCAGCATCAGGTAAGGTAACATGCTGCCTGTCTTGCCAAGTTTAAGTAAACAGGATTTAGCTTCCTGTGCAGGCTCCTAAGGCTGGTAGAGACGAGTAAGGCTGAAAGTTATTTTTTAAACAAGGCTCTATCGACTGAGAATAACGAGGCATTAAGAACTGGAGTGACTGGCTTAGGTGCAGGGTAAGAGGATTCCTTGATGCTCTGCAAAGATGGAGGCAAAACTACTTTTCTTTAACCCTGAAAGGGACTGTTGGTGTGACAGCTTGTCAACAGGTTCTATAGCACAAATCAGGGAGAATGAAAGTAGTTGTTCAAATCGGCATGTGGACAATGCAGCTCTAATACGTTAAAGGTGGTGCTTCTGCACAGCGTTTCCCCGAGGACTAAATAGTGAGGTTCAGAAGGGGAGATTGGCTGGAACGTGCTGATGCATTTGGAAAAACTCAGGCAGTGTGTTTTCAGTAGCTTTTACGCTTAGGATAATTTGTCTATTCAGCTTCTCAGCGCGTGGCTCAAGCGCAAGAGGAAAGCAAGAATAGCTGCTGAGTTCATAGAGGTTCAACGTCCCAGTCACAGAAAAGCTTAATGCAAGAAATGTACTAACGCTATTATGCCTGCATGATGGAAATGCTGCAAAGCACGCAAGCGTGTCTGTAATGCAAAGGGGTGGAGATGAACGGGAAGGAAAGGAAGCGCTCTGGATGCAGGCTCTTCTTGATTATGCTGCTTTGCGTCCTGCAGCTCAAATGTTCAAACGATGGCTTCTCCGTGGTCGCCGACTACTTTGGTCGAGGCGTTTTCAATAAGCTCACCCTCATCACAGACTTGCCGGGGAAATCAGCCACCACCATTGAAGCGGGCCTCCAGCGGGAGCTCCTCGTGCACACCAAGCGCAG